GTTTAGACAATAGTACAAGGAGGAGATTTTTTTTTTTTTTAACACCAAAAATAAAACACTTAGATGGATGACACATTTTCTGTATGCCGAATATTCTAATAGTAATGCACCACTGTTATGTACATACAGAATAAAAAAGCTGAATCTTCTACTCAAAACAGAACTCAAAGTTCTGAAGATCTCCAAGGATACAGATTGTACAACCTTTCTCAGTAAATTATTTCACTACTTAAACACTCTCATTGTGACTTTTTTACCCTTAGATTCAGTTGGAATTTCCTTTCCTGCAAATAAATGAAAACTTAGATTCTGCTTCAGCTTTGTTTAGAGGAATTTGCCTGTGATGCATAGCAGTAATCACAGGAATAGCACTAATTCAGATAACTGTTTTTTGACCGTTTAACCCTGTTTCCAAAGTCTAATTTCGAGTTAGGCATCTCCCTTTACAGGATAATGACTTGTGAATGGGAGCAGTTTCTTTGTTGCTAAATTTACTGATGACATCAGTCTTCAATGATGTGTGTGTGTGTGTAGCAATGACTTTATTGGATTTTTGCATTACAGAACAGTAATTCATAATGTTCTTGGCAGTGAGGCTTTCCAACTGCTCTCTATTAACCAGCCCTCAAATTTTTGCTCATTTTCTGTCTCCATGGAAGGGGAAGATTAGACTGATTTTGAAAACTTCTAGCTGTCCTTACAAATACCCTGTGTTCTTTCCCCCAAAGAAGATAAAACATTTTATCGTTTTTATCTCAATGTATATTCTTTTAACTAATCTAGTTTTTTTAGTAAAAGTAACAAATGAATTGGTAGTTAAGATAACTAGAACGAGCAGAAGAAACTTGCACCAAAATCTCTTTTCTTTGTGACTTCATTGCTCAGAACAAAAAATATCAATTATTAACTTGTTTCGCTTTCTGAGTAGGTGAGGCACACTAATTTGTGTGCTGAAAAGACATCATGCACTCTATTTTAAAACAATACCAGTTTGCATGTACCAAGTAACTTTGGCCAATAAGAATAATAGTATCTGTATTTTTCCTGACTTTTCTTTGAAGTAAAACAATAGTATGAGTTGATAGGGGATGAGGAGGTTTCTTTGGCAGATCTGCTTATATAGTAATATGAAATAAAAATTACAGTGAATTTCGTGAAAATAAAAATTGTTTGGTTTTATGGAAAGAGAAGTTGGTGGTAAATATGTAGTGGAAGATAGTCTTGTACCTGAGGCAAGCGAACATTCCAGAGTTTTAGCAGTAGTCATAAATTGTGTTTTACTGCTTGTTCTCAGAGCTTAACTTTATTTTTTAAACTGTGATATTAGGAGAGGAAAATATGCAGATATCAGAGGGAATCCAGATACAATAAGATAGCTATTTAACATTGTGTGGCTTTATCTTAACAGCCTGTTTCCTTGCAAGTTTTACGATGTGATGGTGGTATAATTTTGTTCGGCTGGTTGCAAACATACGTACAAATACATTTTAAGTGACACTGTAAACTGTGCAAGGTCAGGCTTAATCAGTAGTTAGAAGAAACCAGTGTGCAAAGTATAGGTGCTACAGAAGTAAAATTAGGGATAATTTATTGTATTTTACAAAACTTTGTCACCTTTGATGTAAGACCACTTTATGATGATCAAGGAGCAATCATTAAGTACCTTTTTTTTTCAGTTTAGTTTGATCTGAATTCCTATTTGGTTGTAAACACTAACAGTTATATATCAGCTTCGTAGCAGGGATGTGATTTCTCTTCTGGAGTTTTCACCATGAGTATTTGTGATAACAATTCCATATCTATAAATGAACATCTGCTGAACTTTTATCTGGCAGAAATTACTCCAGTTCTCTTCCTAGTAACAGGTGAAATGTTTTCTTTCACCTAAGTTAAGGTTCCTTGGTTTTAATTGACGAAACAGTTATTTTTACAATACATATTTTTATCTAACACTATTCTTATGTAAGTGGTGGTTTATTCTGTTACAGTTAACACTTTCCTTCATCATTCAAGCAGACATGACTGATAGTGTGATTTTCCTCCTCTCAGTTGTGAAGAGGCATCTTCATTACATCAGTGTGAACTACTACAAGATGTTCAAGTATTCACAGAAAGCATTTGAATGAAATTTAACTCAAGCTGATGGTTTGTAAACGATACGGGAAAAGTTCAGATTTTGTCACAAAAGCCTTAGAAAGCATACTATTAGAACATTTTTTTTAAAACTTAAGATATTTTTATAGATGCAGACATGAGTCATCCTGCAAATCAGCACTTGTTTTGGACTTTAAAATGGACACTAGTAATAGTTTAAAGAGTCTTTATTTCATTTCTTGTACTAACCTCACTGTCATGAGCACTAAAACAAGTGAAGCATTATTTTAAAATGAACTAACTTATGAGTTAAGCATTGTGTAATGAACTGAGTCGTCATGTTCGTATGCCTCCACACTGAGTGATCCATGTCACTTAGTAATACTTGAACACAGTAAATGCCTTCACAAGGAAGTTTGGAGGACATCTGCCTGAGACATGATGGGATGGTAGTAGCAGTAGATATTAACAAGTATGCTTTTGTTGTGGGTTAAGTGATGCAAATAAACCTGTGTTTCTTGCAAAAGACACCTTTGTTTAGAGTTATAAATGAAGCCAATTGATTTTTCTTTTTCTTGACTAGCAATCTAGAGAGCAGCTGTTTGTCCCAGCAAGGATCTGAACTTTTTTGTACCAGCACAGTTGGGCTTCAATTATGGCGGAGTTAGAAGCTCAAAATATAGACATCAATGAGTGAGCTGTTTTCTTTGTCAAACTTTACTTCTATCAGATATTGGCTAGCAGTTACAAACTGGAGTAGTTTGTAATTAAAGGATGTCTTACATATTTTAGATTCCTACAGTGATCTTGTTTGATAGGAATCCTTGTTTGAAAGGAAGAAATAAGCTGTAAGAATTACTTTCAGTAATGAGAACTGAATAAGAGCTCATTTTGCCATTGTCCTAAATTTGAGTGTACTTGGTTCTTTATACATATAAATAATTAGTTAACTAGATAGAAAAAGGCTACTTACTCTTTTATGTGTATTTCTTTATACTAACTTCTTGGTAGATAATTGTCAGTATCAGAGAACCAGTATAAGTGCTCAGTGTGTTAGTGTGTGTGCAAACTAATATCTGAATCTAGAATTGGTGATACAATTGGTGTTGAATGGTTTTTAAAGAAAAATTAATAGAGATAAGTGAAGTTTATAATCTCACTATTCCACATTTCCTCCATCTTTGTAATTATGTCATGTTTTAAGTTCAGAGGAACTTTAATTATGCAAGCTAGTATCTGAGCTGTTTATCAGTGCCTTTTTAAATTAACATCTTTATTTGGGCAGTGAAAAAAAGCTTTTAAAAAAATCTGGTATTTTTGATCTCAAGTATTGTTTCATAGCAGTTCTGGGTTTTAACAGTCAAATCTTAGTTTTTATCTTAAATCTAATGTTTAGTTGAAAATGTAGATGTAGTTAAGCAAATTTCTGAGATGCTGTTCTGAAAAGATAATGCAATGTAACATTTTTAGTTCTGTTTCCTGTGGAAGTAATGATTACCGATTAGTTCACATCAGGCAAGAATTCGTATTAGAGTATTTCTTATGTTCTAATTGATGGTATTTAGGCAAATAGTGAGTTGGATCTCAATTCAGAAGATTCATATTCTGAAATGAAGATGTAGTCCTTGCTGTTCATAATGCCTACATAGATAGGTGAAGAAACATGAGTAAAATTGCCTTACTTTGAGATTTCTGTTGTATCGTGTGTTTTTGCTTATATGACTTGTCTCTCTGTTTTTAGAATGGTTAGTACTCATCAATTTCATAGTGAAAGCTTGTTTTTAATTACCTGTATTCACAGTTCATATTTTAAGTGAAATGTGAATTTACTTCATTAAGGTTAAATTTTTCCATGTCCTGACTTGGATATTTGGTCTAAAAGAAAATGAAAGTGAAGTCTTAATTGGTTATATAAGGTAGTGAATCGAATTAAAGACTTTTAACTTAAGTATATTCTGTCAGCTTCTCTATAAGCAGTGGAGTTTCAGGGCTAGGTGGTCTTGATTTGGTATACAGTATTGATAACTGTTCAAGATTAAAATGCCTAACTTTACAATATGAAGTTCTATTTTAGTAGCAGGGAAAATATGGTGTTAATTTATATTTAAGATTCAGCAAACTACAGAATCTATTGTGTGTTGCCAAAACAAGTTTTAAAACGTGATGATATACAAGATTATTTTTTTTTATTATTTAGATACTGCATTTTACAAAATTGAAATGAACTTGTACTTGCTTTAAGAACATTGAATGAGTATCTTGTACCTGACATCTAAGTGCAGGCATCAAAGTTAGCCCAGCCTGTGTATATTAATTCAGCTAAGGCTTATTAATGTGATCTGTCCTCTTTCTGCAATCACAGTTCATCTAGTAGTTAGCCCAGATGAGAAGTCTAAAGTCACTGTCTTATCTTTATTATGAACAGTATTTCACTGTCCAAGTTAGGTTTAAAATGGAAACTAAAATTTCACTTGATGAGAATTTCTTAGCATCTTTGGGGAGGAAGAAAATGTTTTCCTATTACTAATCCATAATTCCTGTTTCAACATGGATTTTATTTGCAATTGCAAATTTAAATTGCATTTGAAAAAAGTAAATTGCATTTAAAAAAAAAAAAGCTTTGCTTCCAGCACAGTATATCTCAAATTATCTTTTTTCTTGTTTTCAGATTTTTAATATAATGAATGGAAATTATCATGTATCTTGAGTGAGCAGTCAGTTGTTGCATAAATCAGAGACAGGTCTGGAATTGTGATTCTATTGAGGATCTTAATTATTTTTCTGTAGTTACTATCAACACAATAGTGTATTGTCCCCTCAAAGAAAAATAGTTCAATAGATAACACACCATAAGTAAACTAGTAATGTAGATTTTTGATGTCATTAACAGCTTCTGTATATTACAGCTTTATGCAGGAGCTGTCCTAGAGGTATGTGGATGAAAATTGGGAAGGTTCCCTCAAGTCCAGGGTAAGTAAAGCCACTACTGTTCCTTCAAATGTGAATACTGTCATAGCTGAATGAAGAAATGTGCTTTTGAGTACTACTACAAGTAGTCATAAATTTCATATATTATTTCAGTAAAGTTGCATTGACCTGAGACTCATGGAACTGGTCTCCAATAGTTGATAGATGAAATTATATTGTGCACTTACAGAACTACTTTCTTTTCACAGATTCTGCAGTATTAATTGTTTTGCCAGTGGATAATGGCAAAACTAAAGTGAATGGAATACAGTAGTGTAAAAGGAAAATCAATACTATCAGTGTGTGGTTTGGAGGAAGCTGCAGGAAAAACATCTGTGAAAAATTTCATCCTGGCATTTTCTTATAAATGAGGGAAGAGCTTAGGTGATAGCAGTACTTCGATTTTATTTTTTTTTCTGTAATGAAGATCCTAATATTGTACTTTGGACATAACTGGCCATAGAGAAGAAAGACTAATCTAGCTTTAGACCTAAAAATGCACAAAACCCACATCTTTATCTACCATGGCCGATATTAATACCTCCTTGTTTAAAGGCTGACTGACAAACAAGTGAAAAGGGATTTTAATACAGGTGACAATTAACATAAGTTATGCTACTTTAGATCCTCTCCTGCCATCTCTACCCCCACACAGTTCAGTTAATTGACTGCAAGACCAGAGCAAAGCTATTTTCTCTTTCCCACTGTTTAAAACACTAAAACAAGTACTGTTTAAATGACTTGTCCTACTTCAGGGATGTGAGGAGATTAACTTTGTTAGTACAGGACACCATATTATCTCCATGACTATTCAGACTTTAGCAAACTTAAAAATGTTCCCAGCTGCTGTTGCCCATTCACTCAGCTTCTTTATGGTTGTGAATTTGTAACAGTTAAGTGCATTTTTGAGCTATAGGTTTGAAGGAAAAGGTCAACCTGTTAGCCTGACTCTAACCTGCATTGTCCTCAGTTATCTTCATGTGTAGATCCTAAAAGGGAATGGCCCTCAATTTTTGCTGTGTGCACACTATGGAACGTGTTCCGAAAGAAAATACTTGAGAATTTTAAAGATTTTTCCTTTCAATTCTGGGTTATCTAAATCTACTCAAAGATTTAAATTCCATTAGTCATGTAGCTTTTTAAAATGACCGAATAAATTTCAGTGGCTTTTCAGTAGGTTCTCTGTTTTGACTACCAGTTCTTCTTTGATATAGTAAGTAAAAAAAAAAGAGGACTGACTAGTGCACTTAAAGATCTCTTTTTCCTTTTATTCAGTTTCTGCAGTTACCCAATCTAAATTTACCTTGACCAGTTTTACTGATAGGGTATTAGAACAGATTGGAAGATGGGATAAATTTTAAGAGCATATTCAGAAATTCTAAAAGCAGTAGAATGTATTCTTCCAGTTGGTATTTATCCTTACATCAGTATTAATCTCAGAATACTTTTGCTTAATTTCCCCCTTGATTTTTAGCTTCTACCAAAAACAGTATTTAATATCTCCATCTTAAGACATTAACATTCAAGATGTGTTTTTATTTCAACTTTTCACTGAGGTGTTTGCTATGGAAGTTAGGTTGCCTGGAGGCCACGCTGCTGCTTTTGAAGCAGTGTCTTTGTAGGCTTCATTAAACTGTGTAGCCTGTCATTGACAATGTCTCATTGCAAATAACTGATTCCTTTGCTGTAGTTTCTGCTAGGATTTTGTTGGTTTTGTGGGGGTTTTCTTGCAGAAGATATACAAAATGGCAGTACTAATTGCAGGATTGTGTATAATTAGAACTATGTGGACTAGTACATGTTACTTCTGTATCTGACGATGAAGTCTTCAAGTACCTGTATAAATTGTTTTGTCACTTGGCTTACTCCTACAGGCTTGATTTGTCATGAACTACTTCTGAATTATATTTTGTCTGGCCAGAGGATGAACAGTGGGGTTGATTTTTTTTTTTTTTTTTTTTTTAATAATGAAATTCGATCTTAAATGTAGTTAAGGATTAAAATCTGTTGCATTAATAAAGGTTCTTAAAAGTTACACAATAAGGAAGTTACACAATTGGAAAAACCTGTGTGTTGCCTGTGGTTATTAAATGCAATATTCTATGGTCCGTCAGTGTCAAAATTTCTATCAAAATTATTGGTTATTTAATTTTTAGCTACAAATAGTTGCTTTATATACTTGCCCGCCTGAAATGTGAGAATCATTACATATGGAATATATTTATAGATACTGGGAAAGCAAAGAAGTGACGAGTGATGAAAAAAATCTAGTCCTCAGCAAGATTGAGATAATCTTAAACTGAATGTTCTTTTTGTAATATCACAACAAAGTACTAAATGCTTTTGTGAATGTGGCCAAGGATATCTGTTATCTTTTTTCAAATACAACTTCTTGTGATAAGTCAGGTAACAGACCACATTCCTGTAAATCTCTAAGTTCCGTACTGAAATACTTTTCCTACTAACTTTCCCTGAAAAATAAATTGCTCCATTATAAATGCTGTACTGTAAAATTAATTCTTATATTACTTACATTTTGAAATTGTTCTGTGTAAAGTTCTTAAATATTTATCATTTAAAAGCACTCCATCCAAGTAAAACATTGAAAGCGTAAGTGACAAGATTCATAGATGAAGCAAAATTTTATTATACCAGGTAACACAGAAAATGTGAGTTTTCGGCTGACATCCATAAAACTAAGGCTCTGAAATAAAATAATAAATTAGTTGGGTCAGCGATTAATCTGGCATATTTAAGTTGACTTTTCAGTGGCAGCCCTGTTCTGTTCATGATGAGATAGGAGATCACAGTGTCTAGACTCCTACGTTCTTTCCAGCTTGTTTAGCAAAAACTGACTTAGGCTGGGTTTTTTCTTTGACCGTTTCTCTGCGTTCTTTTTGTTCATCAATAGAATAACTCTCACCTTTCCCCGTGTGACTCTCTTAGTTAAGAAGTGGACGTGCTTCCAGCAAATCTGTTACAGAAACAAGGTCCTTAATCCTTGAACTCATTGCAGCATGCAACTACGTTAGATCCTCTGAATTCAGAGTCAGTAAGCACTCTTATTATATTGCCCAAGTTCTGCAAGCGTGAGGAAGATCCTTGTACCTGTAACTTGTTATCGGATTGTAATTTAAGTAAGATCACTTATTTTCTGGTTATCTTAATCTGTAATTCTTAAACACTGGTGAAAGGAAGTTTTATTAACCTTAAATCTTGCATTGGTGGAAATGTCAGTAAAACTCTGGCTAAGAAATGCAGGATATTGTAGTGGGAGATATGCAATGTTTTGTCATAATCTTTTGTAATCAGATGATATACAAACTAAAACAATACTTCTCTTCAGATTTAGAAGTGTCTCTTGCCCTACTGCTTCTACAAAGTATTCTGTTTTTTTTTTCAAAGTTTCTTCTTCAGGCTTGATCGGAGCTCTCTTTTGGATTTGCTTTTGAAAGTGTGTGATGCTTTGTATAAAATCATGAACAGCTGCACTGTAACTTGATTAATAGGCTACAAATAATAGTTATTGATGTGCCATATGAATTCTTAAATGTAAATTCTCTCAAACTGAGGTCCCTAAAAGGTAAAGAGGGATAGCCATTAAAATGTAAACGAGTGCTTGATGTCTGCTGTAGTTCTGTCTTTTTGCTAGGCCCTCATGGTATCTTTTGAAGCAGGCTCATGCGATATTCAAAATTGCAGAGCATGTATTAGTCTGGATCATGCCCTTCATATATAATAGTAGGTAGTCAACTCTGTTTACAAAGAAGTTATGCCCAGCGTATAGATCTGCAGTTCTGCATGGAGAGATGTGGAGTCACGTCCATTTTGGGTCAGAAAGTTTTCTTACAGTGTATCCTACCATACCTCAGAGAGAATAGAGCAGGTGTGTGCATGCATATACATAGACGTGCCATTTGGGCATGAGTGATTCTTGGATTCCTTAGTAACCTCCATTTAGGACGCAAGGCTTTTATTTGAACAGGCTAGTTTTCACAGACTTTTTCAAAACAAATATGTGTTATGTCAAAACAAGGTGACATTATAATGGTAGCACTGAGTTTCACTGTTCTACTGTGTTCATAGGTAGAGGCTGCTCTTAAGTCTTTAAAAGCACTGTTCAGCGTTACCATGCTTTGCAAAACAGTTTGGTGCTGAGCAGGCTTTGAAGTGCCTATACACACCTGATCCTCTTCTCTGACCTTTTAGTTGTAGTTGATTGTGTGGCAATGAAGTCTGCTCTGTGGGCTCACGTCAGGATTGCCTTCTCACAGAAGGTATTTGGTATTGCGTGTGTTTTATAAGAGCATAAGGTGAAGTGATTTTCTTAACATGATGTGAAAGAACAGTTGTAAAGCTGGCAGCAGAACAGCTCTGACTTCTAGTCTGGTGTTTAATTCACCAGAACATAGTGTCACGGCACCAAGCCCAGAGTTCATCTTATGGAAGTCAAAGTGGAAAATGCCTTCCCTGCTCACCCGTGGTTGGATTATATCAATGTTTTTCTGCTGCAGTGTGTAATTTCTAAAGCTGCTACAGGCAGAGGATAATGGGGAGATAGCTAAGGTTTTATTATTAAACATCAAACTATTGAATAGTGGTGTAAAAATGTGCAGGTAGCCTTCAGACATAGGATCATAGGAAGCAAGGTTGATGTCAGGGTATAGCGGGGGAACTGCTGGGGCAGTGCTGAAGGAGAAGCATGTACACCACATCACATGACAGGCAAGCAGCCACAGGTCCCAAAATGTGCACTGTAGCTGCGTCTGACTTCCTAACCCCATCAATTCTATTCAAAGGCTGGTTATTCAACTTAGGGCATGCTTTTGTGGAAAGAAAAAAAGTGTTTGATGGGATAATCTGTATTTTTAATGCTTGTCAGTATATTAGTTTCTCACTTCAACTTCCAAATCTGAAAATATACAAATTATTTGTACAGTGAGCGTTTTTCTTTGTTGCATTGCAAATTCAAGTCACTAATGCAGAAAGTCACTATGATCAGCATTAGAAATAAATAGGCCGTTAACAGAAACCAATTTTGTTCCAGCTGTCTAAAATTTCAGGAAAAATGTTCTGTAGTGCTTCAGCTTTCAGAAAATGTAGACATTTGACATCGATACAAGTGTGTAATAGCTACTTGTAAAGTGACAAATGTAATACTGCCTATAGAATACTTTCTTCCACCTAATTCTGTTCCCATTTTATGCAAGCTTGTGTAGTCCAACACTGCAGCCAGAGAACAGCCACCTATGTCCAAATGGGCTTTCATCTGTCATTCAAGTAACAAATCCTCACACCTGTTACAAGCTTTAAGTGCTGTAACCTGAGTTAACCCCAAAGGCTAGTCTTTAATACAATTGAGTTCCACAGTTCAGATTTGCTTCTGAAACTTTATCCATTTTACTATGCTCTCTTACGGTTTTGTTGGTTTTTTTTTTGTTTTGCAATTAAAGTTACCCACTATACTGACTGCTTCTTACAAACCTCCTTTTCATATAAAGCCCTAGAGGCTGATTTCAGCTTTAGAATTAAATTGAAAATAATGTGAAAAAATTTCCCATGAAATAGTTCAACGTGCTGTGGACTTAACAAAGAATAAGAAATATCTTTGCCCTTTTTTTTCGCATGTTACTGTTGATGACAGCCAAGACAACTAACAGGTTACAAGAACATGGGAAACAAACACTCAAGTTGGAAACTATGTCTTTGTGAGTTTAAATCAGAATTGAACTGCAGTATGTGAGCCAAGTACTGGTTGTTTAGTTCTATTTGAAATTGTTATACAAGTACAGCTTACAATATGACCTTAGTGTATGGTTCTATAGAGAGAACGAAAACAAGCCTTATTTTCTTCTTCATAGCTGTAGTATATCTGGCAGCTCATTGGGACACTGTTTTTTTTTTTTTTAACTTGTTTATACTGTGTAGTGGTTGGTGTGGCAGGCAGAGTATATGATTTTGAACTTAGCGGGAGGACAGTGGAAGAGGGAAGAAAATAAATGCCACCCTTTATATACATACTGAAAAAGTGTTAAGGTAACCGTCTACAGTAATACAGAGACAGGTTTAAAGATGCCAGGAGGCATCTTTACAATTACTGAGGAAAGCACTACACTTTGTGAGGCAATATGAAACATTAGTCCTGAAGTTGCGCTCATCTCCATGCACCAGCTGGATGCACTGCAATTTGAGAGAGATTCATTGTTACCTAACCTTGAAAAAGCAGCTTTAACATGCAGATAGCACCTTTGTAAGAGACAATCTGTACTGGCAGGGTTCATCCTTGGGGAGACTCTGCTGGTGTAATACAGGAGTGTCCTGAATCCACTTAATTGCAGTACAGATACTGAATTCAGCCTTTAGCATAAACTGAATGTAAGAAGGAGGAATGAAGACTAGGCGATTTTCTAAATAAATTTTAAGTACTTTTAGAACTCAAATATTCATTAGGCTACAGTGTTTGGAAGTAGGGGATTATGCTCACACTTTGTCCGAAATAATTCATATCGTCTTCCTTTTTCAAAGTTAATGTTAACATGAGGCCTGCGTTGTGCTGTAGGGATACAGGCTGCTGTTAATGCTGGCCGTTTCTGATAGTGCTTCAGGTGAAGAACTGTTCATCAGCAGCCCACCTCAGACCTGAACTTCTCTCCATGTAGCTACTTGACAGGCCATAGAGCCCATCTGAAAGCTGATTGATTGCCTTAAGGAGTGTCAAGAGAAGAGGAGATATCAGCTTCTCTTTGTTCTTGTTTTCTTGTTTTGTGCTGGTTTTCAACATGTCATCTCAGAGATCTCTGCAAGGCAAAATGGTCTGTCATGTTTGCAAGAATAACACCTCTGCCCAGTTTCCTCTGTGCCCTTCACCTGCACTGCTGCAGCTTGTGTAGAGTGTGCTGATGGGATATGTGTCTCATTTAGCCTCCCCCACAAAGGTTATCTTCAGCCAAATTTTGATTGCTTTAATGCTTTTCCTCACGTTTGCAGCTATGGGCAGTCTGCTGAAGACAGTCAGTTGTACATGCAGATAAACTGATTTAGATGGTTGCACTAGTGTTTGAGGAAAACCCAAGCAGACATGAAGCTTGTTTAGAATACTAGCAAAACTAGGGTGTTCCTTAGGCATAATAGGTTTAGTATCACTAATTTTGTGAGGATATTAAGAATTTTAAATACCTAAAATACACTAAAATACCTTCTAAAGCATCATTCTAAAAGAAATAATTCAGGGAATGCTAGCTTGAATGTAAGTCTACTTTATGCAAGTGGAGAAGAGTTTGATTATCTTTCCTTTTTTTTCTCCAAACCATAGCTTTTGTCAGGAGTGATAAGCCAAAACTCTTCAGGGGACTGCAAATCAAGGTGAGTAGTATACTAACTTTTTTATTCAGAATGTTAGGAAGAATTAAGCTTGGTGGAGATAGTTCTGTGGATTATTCCTTATTTGCTGATCAAGTAATCCTTTAGCAGAGGACATCTTTTTGCATTGCCAGTATAAATCTTTACAAGTTTCTGCTGCTAATATTAATTGGGTTATTGCACAGTGACTGTTTAGTACCAATTCTTTGTTGTTGGGGTTTTTGGTTTTCTGTTGTTGTTTGTTTTCAATCCAAGAAAAAAAATATACTGGAACCCATAAGTAATAGCAGATGGCAAAAGAATGTGAGGAATGTTTGCATTCTGTCCATACTCTGTGGGTATCTTGGATTTACTCAAGCTTATTCTGCCATAGGTTCCTTTTCTCCTGTTCTGTTCTCCCCTCGTTTTCTGACGGAGCTGCCACTTCTGTATGTTCAGTGATTGTTAGATTTTTCTCCTCCCTCTTGGAATTTCCCTTCTGTGTTCTATGATTGTTTTTCTTTATAGTCTTCAAACATCCAGCTTTATAGAAATGCATATACTGAATGGTGTTTCTTATGACTTGTATATATGCAAAGCTGCACAAGCTGCACTGCTCAAACAATTCTCTGGTTTCAAAGATCTAGTGTAAGACTTCACTTTCCTCTTAAAATCCTGTGTGAACCTCCAGCGTACGTCACAGATATACATCTTGATTCTCACATCTTTTGCTCCCATCTCAATTCACCAAATGGCACCATCTGGAATCACTTTATAGCTATGCATGGCTGCAATAAGTGATTTGTCTTCTCAGCAGCAGATTCCATCTAAAGCAGATTTCCTCTGTCTCATGCGTTCATGTCTGTGTCCTCCAGTTTCTTTCAAAAGCTTTCTCTCCTTCTGTCTCTTTCATTTTTATTTTAAACTTTGTAGCTGTATTGAACATCAAAGCAATCTAGACTACAACTAGTACAGAGCACTACCAGAAAAAAAATAGTGCAAATGGACCTGTATTTATTTTACAAGACTTGAAGAAAACAGATTAGAGATGCCCCTAGCTTCATTAAGTAAAACCAACTAGGTTAGCTCACTAGGGTAAAGTAAAATACTCCTGGGGAAATCTTTTCATGAACTTAAATCGTTAGGGCCTTCTAATACTGTTAAAAGCTTTTATTTGCATTACATATTTTGTAAACTAGTGAGTCTTCAGAAGCATTAAACTATTATGTTACCAGCAAAGCCTAGCAGGCACAGATTACACAGCAGGAAAGAACGTGATTACATTAGCAATTGATAGTAGAACTTCGAGCTGTTAAAGTGACCAGAAATTTCTAAAATGGTAAAAAGGCTATTGATGATACGAGAAGAATCATTCAACTGCTTGATTCAAAAATCCAACTTTGGTAGCTTAAAACAGCTGAAGTAGAATACCATCTTTCAAAGCTAGGCTTATGGCACTGCTGCCCTACATGTGCATTAGCTTTTGTAGTGGGCCAAGGAGAACAAGAAGTAGATGTCTGTGTGTCCATCCATCCCCCCCTCCTTGTTTGACTTGTTCCTCCACTTTCTTCGTGGACATTAAGTGCAAGTCAGAAGCCTGAACTGAAGCAGTTTCCTACATGTTTTACTTAAGGCAAGTAACGCTGTTCTGGATCTCAAGATAAGCATTTACTGCTCTTAAAGTACTATGTTTTAATTTCCTGTGAAATGAGGCCTCTCCATCCCTTATGCTTCATTCTTTTCTCCCACCCTTATTCCTTAGGACTAGGCAAGAAAGCATCTAATCCAGAGCCGCAAACACTGGCCAGCTGTCGCCAGTGGAGCGTGCAACCTGCAGCATCTCTCTGTCTTTAAAACTTCAATATGATGCCTCCCCTTACCAGTTCTTCCTTTGCATGCACACAAACTCTGGCTGTGAACAGCCACTTCTCCTTTGAATCTGGACAGTAAATGAAAAAACATTGGAGGAGAGGAGGTAGCAGCATAGGAAAGAACAAGTTGACTGATCTCATAAGCTTAATTTAATAGATCTGTTTTCGTCAAGAAAAGTGGAATACATTATTGTTAAATACTCTAGTAATGAAATTCATAATATCAGAACAAAATACATGGCACTGGAATATTTATAGCATTGACAGGAACAACCAAGTTTGTCTGTTTGGTTTTTAAGAATTCTAATTTAAAAAGCCAAAGCTTAGGTTGATTTTGCAGCACAAATTGTATTGCAAAGTTTGCCCAGAATACTCTGACTTAATGTAGTGCTCTGTTCTTAAGTATTCATACTTCATGGTGTCATTCTTTAGACTTTTTAGTATTCTTGCTTTGACATATTTCAAACTGATGTAATCAGTTGGGAGGGAGGAGGAGTGTTAACATGGAGAATGCATTTCCCAGCCCAAGGTAACTGACCTTTCTTTTTTTTTTTTTTATTTTTCCCCTGCAGTATGTGCGTGGTTCTGACCCTGTACTAAAGCTGCTGGACGACAGTGGGAACATTGCAGAAGAACTGAGCATCCTCAAGTGGAATACAGATAGTGTGGAAGAATTTCTAAGTGAAAAATTAGAACGTCTATAAATCATTGCTTTCAGTCCTCTTTCCTTTTCATGTTTTGTCATGGTAATCTCAGATGTAGTGTGCTACAATTGAAAAAACATTCCAGCTTCTATATTAATTTTAAATTATCTGTTGTGCTGTACTAAACATCTTGTAATTAGAAGGGGAAGCTTCAGCACACATATCTGACAAGCTGACAAACAGAATAGTTTGTCTTAATATATTTCAGCTCTTAATGCATTTATCACTAACAAAATGCTTTGTTTCAAAGTTAATTATGCAAATATCAGTTTGTTATAATTGGACCTGTATTTACAATAATTTCAAATAATTGAAACGATTGCCATGCTTTTTGTCTGCTGCTCTTTGTAAGAAAGTCAGAACCAAATGCAATGTACTATCTCCCAAAGAAACTTGACTGCTAATGCCCTCTTCTTTTTTGTATTTGAACTGTCCTTTTTATAGAACCGTTGTTTACAGTGAGTATCTAGTTCACAGTTTTTGAAGCTGATGGAGGAACTCATGCTCTGGTACTGTGAAACACTTAAGTACACTTTAGTGAAGACTACATAGAAAACCTCTGTGGTGTATGGAAGTCAGATGTCAGGTGTGCTTTATGTTAAGTGTTTTGCTTCAGAAAACATGAGATACGAGTCTTGAAAAACCTTTCCTTCTAACTTTCACAAGTTTATTGGAAGACTGTTTATCAAACAAATTTATAAACTGTTTTAAAATGTATATTTTTCTTTCTCAGTTGAAATTTATGTATGTATGGTAATGAGTCAAATCCATTATGACTTGTCAGGTTTTTTCCACTTAGAGTAAATAAATACAGTAAGCAAGAATAATGTGTGGGTTTTTTCTGAAGTCTAATTAGCAACTAAGTCTTCCCTTTAACTACTTCACTCACACCAGTTTTTGGTTGGATGGGTGTTATGCTAAAGATTGAATTGATACTCAGTTTTTTCTCTTAATATATAATTTTATATCTCAAACTTCTGTACAACTTACAGATTTTATTCCAAACTTTTGACAAGAAATGAGCAGCTTCATAGCAGAACAATAAGCTTGGGACTGAGACCATACTAAATTAGAAGTAATACAATAAGGTGATTCTTCAGACATAGTCTTCTGAGTTTTTATTCCTGAAATATTCTTATAAACTCTTAGGAGGTGCATATTGCTAGGTCACATGATGTTATCTTCATTGTTCTCTCTCACACTCTTATTCCATGCCTTTCACTCCTATCCTCGTAAAACATGCTGCTCATCATCTCAGATGACTCAGTGTGGGACAGCTAAATAGTGGTCAGCACTGTCTTAGAGAAATACGAACTCTACACAAAAAGCGCAGATCTTTGCAGCTTGTGCTGACTTATCAGAGTCAAACATGGATTTGTTCTTGGGACATGTGATGTATTAGTCAGCAGATGAGCTACAGCCAAAACATGTGGCATGACAACCCAGTATTTTGGTAGTAAAAATATGCTGCCATCCACTGGTCTTTTAATATACTGACTATATCCCAAACTACTTATGTTTGCCAACAAGGGATTTCAGTTTCTATGTTGATGATTTATCATGACTTTTTAGCATAGTATTTTTAACCTTGTCCTTTTCTCCAGCCTTAGGTCCTCTTTACCACTCAGAGATTTTGCTTCGTTTTGATACTTTTCAAATATTTATCTGTTTCTCTGTCAGTATTTCCTTCCTTCTCCTCAATGTGATGGCCAGTGGGTTTCTGACCTTCAGCCTCCCTTTTCTTTC